AAACAAAAAACATAAAGTATATAAAAATTTGAAACTTACTAGTAGATATAAATAGAAAAAAGCTTAAATATATTTATAAAAGATTTAAAAAAGCATATATAGCAAGAATCAAAAGATCTAAATATAAGTTTTTTACAATAATTCAAATAAAAGAATTAGAAAATAAAAATTTTTATGATCTATATCAGTTAATATTATTAAACTAATAAGAGTAATAAAAAGAAAAAAATTATAAAGAAAGACAAAAACAAAGTTTATATATAGCAAAATTAACAGAGCTGCCAAATAATGCTTCAGAAGTTCTACTATTATAATGTTTAAGAAATAAAGATGCAAAATCAGTTTATATTCTACCAAATAGAAATAAAAATCAAGAACAATAATAATTATATTTGTAATATAAGAAGAAATAAATGCAACTTAATCAAAACCAATTAGATATAACAACTTCTAAGTAGTATAGTTAAATAAAATAAAAATAAAATAAAAAAAAGAGAAAGTTTCAAAAAAAAAGAAGCTAGAAAAGAACTAGTTAAAGCCTAAACAAAAGATATATAGAAATAAGAAATAATTTTTAAATATAAAATATAAAGAACAGTTAGAAGATAAAAATACCAATATTGAAAAAAAAACTAAAACAGAATTACACAGATTCTAAATAAAAGATACATAAAAATAAGAAATAATCACCAAATACAGAATATAAAAGAATAGTTAGAAGATAAAAATACAATACAAAAAAAAAGATAAAAATATAAAAAAAAATGAAGATAAAATTAAACATACAAACTCAATTAAAAACAAAACAAATAGAAGATGTTTTAGACCAATTTTGAATAGACTAACTGATTAGAAGACTCTTAGCTAAGTATAAGAGAAAGCCTAGCTAATTACTTCTAAAAGCACTCCAGTTGAATCTATAAACACAGACAAAAAGATTAGAAGTTTTTTGCAAAAAAAAAGAAAAATTTTTGAAGAAAAAAAAAAGTAACTTTTAATCTAGAAAATAAAAAAAAATAAAAAAAAATAAAAAAAAGATTAAAAGCATAAAAACAAGACAAGAGCAGCTGAAAGAAAAGTAGAAAAAAAGATAAAAAAAAATTAAAATCATATGTCACAATATTAATAGACTTAAAACTAAAGGTTAAAAACTAGAAAATTTGTTTAACAGATCAGAAAAAGACAAATTGCAATATTGAGAATTATAGAAACAAATTTTATAGAAAAAAAATAAAGTTCTTAACATATAGTGCAGTTAAAAAATATGTAGAGTACTGGATAAATATAACAAAAGATAAGAAAAAAGAATTATACACTAGAATTTTGATAGCTAACTAATAAAAAAAACATATAAATGCAGTTAAAAAGATAAATAAATATATTATAAAGATTATACTATATTTTAAACAACTAAAATTAGTAGTAATTGTAGTTTATATATTACTAAATAACAAAGTAATAGAAAAAAAATATTTAGCAAAAAATCATAGAAGTAGTTTTAAAAAAAACAAATACAAATAATCATAATAAATAACTTTAATTATATAGAAGTAGTTTTAAAAAAAAACAAATACAAATAATCATAATAAATAACTTTAATTATATAGTAGATAATATATTAGATAGGTAAAATCCACAAACAGCAAATTACAAAAGATTGCCAATCTTCAATTAGATAAACAAACAAGACTTTAGTAACTTATACAGAGACATGCATTCAACAAAACAATAATATACATAGTTAAATAAAGATGCAATAACAAAAGTTAACTATATATAGATGTTAAAAGAACTAGCTTCAGAGTTATAAAAAGCATAAATCAAAAAAGTAAAAAAAATTATAAAAAATGATTATAGAATAATAATAACAGAAGTATGGATCAAGTATATAATAGCAGAAAAAAGCAAAACAAAAACTAAAAAAAAGAGTTAGTTAAGAATAGTATATTTGTATAATTAAGCAAAGACAAAAGACTGAAAAAATTATACACAAGACTAAAAGTAAAAGGGATTTTAAAAGATATTTATAAAAAAGAACAAGATAAAAATAAAAAAATAAATAAGATAAATAATATTTAAAATATAATAAAAAAGATAATCATTATAGTAATAATAAGTATATACTTAAGAAAAAAGTATATAACATAATAACAAATAAAAGAAAAAGCCAAAAAAATGACAATAAAAAAAAGTATCATTAAACTTCAAAGATTAATTAAATATATAAAAATAAAAAAAAACTAAGAAGTAGTAAAAGAAGAAAGAAGCAAAATAATTAGACAAAAAAATAAATATAAAATTATCAAAATTATAAAGACAATAGTTAAGCATATGGATTAAAGATATGAAGATTAAAAAAAACTATTACAAGAAAGGAAAAAATACAAAATTATCAAATTTATAAAGACAATGGTTAAGCATATGGATTGAAGATATGAAAGGTTAAAAAAAACTGTTACAAAAAAGGAAAAAATACAAAAACAGACACAAAAAAGATAATTAAAAGAAAAATATAGATAAAATATATAAAATAATCAAGAAAGATCAAAAAAAAATAATAGCTAGTCTGTTAAATAGGGCTTACAAAAGATAATATTTAATAGATTTATCAAGCAAGTAAAAGAAAAACAAGCTTGTTAATAAAACTAAAAGAGAATAAAACAGAAGTAGCAAAAAACTATAAGAAACAATTTAGGAAAAGAAACCTCAGATTAGAAAAAATGGTACAAAAGTAAAAAAAAGTATATAAGAACATTAAAGAAAAATAGTATATAGAAGTTAAAAAAAGGGGGCTGGATTCGTACCTTCCATATTTGGTATTCGTACCCCCCATGATAGCAATTTCTGATTATCACGTGATCACATGATATATTCTATACACGATTGGTCAATATTATTTTGTGCAACTCACGTGCTAAGACATGCACTCATTGCAAAAAAATCAAAATTACATAATATTTAAAGTATTCATTATTTTAAATACAAAACTTCAAATAAAATGTTTATAAATTATAAATATGCAAAAGAATTGACTTGTTAATAGTTGAATAAAAACAAACTTATGTATTTATTTCTAAGTACTTAATAAATTACATCAATTGACATTCCTGAATAATTATTATTTTAACTTTTTTAAAAAAAAACTAACTTGCTGCAAATATATAGAAGACAGATATGTAAAAGTAGTATTTATTATTAAAAAAACTTGGATTCAGTTATCTGTTTTCATATTATACTTAATGGATATCTAACAGATTTTACTGCTAAATTTATATTCAACAGATAACCGAATCAAAGCTCTAATTAAATCCAAACTGATTAATACACAATTTACAAATCTTAAGCCGAACTTCTTAGGTTGGTAGACCCAAACACAATGCAAAAACATAACATATTTAAGCATTAAATCAATAACTTATCTTACAATAAACTTGTTCTTATTCTAGTTCAATCGTTAGTAATAAAATTTTATTTTATGAATGTTACATTTTCAGTTATCTTCATTCTTAGCCTAATTTGATATGACCTAATAGATGGCGGCATACTTAATCTTTTTTAAGTTTTCAGTTTTGGGATTATTTTGTATAGTATATAAAGGCTTTTTTTAGAGCTATCAATGTACTTGCAATAAATTTTTATTAGTGAAATATCACTTTCTTAAAAAGTACTTTAGAACATATAAGCAAGTTATCCGAGCTGTTGATTTACAATAGCCAATCTGAAGAACTTCTTCTTATAAGACTTTCTTATCAATATAGTAGTAAATAATATTGATACTACTTTCATTTTCTATGCCATAATCTAATCAATTCTTGAAAAATAATAGCTAATATTAGCTATTAATCATGTCAGCTTTAGCTATACTGATAAAAAAAATAATTCATGTGAGTGCTGCATCAGTAGATCATTCTGATGTAATAACATATGATGTGGCTTAGAATATTACACATCATAAACCTAATTAAATGAATGTCATGTTAAGGCTAGTTTTTGATATATTAGAAATTATGAATTTGACAAATAATGTGACATAAAATGTGCCTTAAATGCTACATTAATTTGTATTAAATTGGTGTTAAATTAGACAACCAAATCATAAATTTAAAATCCAAAGCTTTATGTGCTTTAATTAAATAAATGCCATAAGCTTGACACAATTTCGTATATGTATTATCATTGATCATGGCATTCTAATTATAGGTGTCATGGCCATCTTATAAAATTAATCGCATTCAAAAATTTTAAATATAGAAAGATCATTGTTATTAGAGTAATTGCAAAAAGATGATTTTAAATATAAAAATATAATAGCAGTTGAAATATATAAACCTCAAGAACTCACATTAAATAAATTTTTAATTCGAAATTGTTCTCTTTGAATATATATATTCATTAAAATTAGAACTCCTGTTTACCTATACTTGTGCTAAAATTATTAATAAAACTAGAACACTTTATGTTGAATCAAAAACTTAATAAAGTAACATACGAAACTGCAAAGCTTGTAATTTTTTTCAAACGGCAGTAATATTGTGGTCGAATTTTTAACCGAAAATAAAAGTATATAGTTATAAAACTTAACAGATAGCTTAAAACACCATAATATAGCATTGATCTGTAAAATAGCAACCTTTATAAGCCTTACAATTCAATTCTTATTTCTTTTTAATAAAGCAAGTATGCTTCCACTGCCTCAATCCACATACAACAGTGCAGATGAGCTTTTTTAAAATGCCCAAGCATTCACGATCTCACAGGGTTATGCATTGATAAAAAAAAGAACCTGTAAAGATAGGCATGATGAATTGAAGAACATAGAATTACATTGTGATCATGGTGGCATATATAACAACTCTCTAGGTTTGATTGAAGAAACACACAGTAGGCAAAGAAGCACCAGACTAATTGATTGTTCATTTGAGTTGTATGCATCTCGATGTAATGGTTTATGGCATCTAAATATCTGTAATCCAGCCTATAATTATAAACATTTAAGCAATATGTTAGGACATCCAATTGCCCGAAGACTCACAGAACAACAGCTAGAAAGTGTTGCAGCAATGACTAGTGCTGGCTCATGTCCTTGAGAAATCATTTCAACACTTGATCAAAATGATGAATCAATACTAGTTACCAACAGTGATATTTACAATGCACGCAAGAAGCTTCGGCAACAGAATTTAGCAGGCTATACACCAATTCAGACTCTTGTAGATAAGCTTCAGAAAGAAAATTTTTTGTATGATTATGAATACGATAACAAAGAAGCAGTTACTTATCTATTTTTTGCACATAATAAGTCTGTAGCCCTTACTCTCCAATATCCATTCGTGCTTCTCATAGATTGCATTTACAAAACTAATATATTTAAAATGCTCCTATTGAATATTGTTGGTATAACTAGTCTTAATACCAGCTTCTTCTCTTGCTTTGTCTTTATAAAAGGTGAAGACAAGAATGATTACATATGAGCTTTAACATGTGTCGCTCACTTGTTTAATGGAGTATTGAGACCCAGAGTTATCATGACTGATGAGAGTTAGCTCTCATGAATGCTCTCGAGACCATCTTTCCTAATTCAATAAATTTGCTATATGTGTGGCATATAAGCAAAAATATATTGAAAAATTGCAAGTCACAGTTCCCAAAAGATGATAAAGACAATGGGTGAAATGATTTTCTCAGAAAATGGAATGATATAGTTAATTCAGAAACCAAGGATGAATTTAATACAAATGAAAGAATTTTTGTTTCACTTACATTAACAAATCTGGTATTATATTATATCAGAGAAATGTGGATACTATGGAAGACATGATTTGTAAAGACATAGATGGATAGAACTCTTTACCTTGAAACAATTGTTACTTCATGCATTGAAGGCGCCCATACAACTCTTAAAGCATACTTACAAATGTCGACTGGGGACCTTTATCAGATTTGTTCATCAATTACTTTAGCTGTAACTAACTAGAAAAAAGAAATTGATTCAAGGATTGAATGGGAACACATTAATATTCCAGTTTTTGCATACAACAATTTGTTGTATGCAAATTTTAGAAGCAAAGTTTCAACCTTTGCTCTCAAAAAAATAAATGACCAGTATCAAAAAACTACTTCACAAGAACCATTGCCACCATGTACCAGGACTTTCTCAAGAACTATGGGTTTGCCTTGCACTCATTATATTTAAAATTTTGAAGCAAACCAGAGCCTACTGCTTAATAATGTCTATACACATTGGTGGATTCAAGGGTGCATTCCAGTAACACAAATTGAAGAAGGTAATTCTCATAATGAAGACTTACTCCAGCCTCTTTTACAGAACCTAAAACAAAGATACTATGAATGGCTCGAACATTAGCAAGCAGTAGCCAGAAATACATTAAGCGATATGATAGATAGTCCATTAGTACCTTTACAAAACCCCCACATAGTTTGTACCAAGGAACGTCCTTCTGGTGCTCCAAATCGACAACCAGCCAATACAACAAGACAGGATTCTTTCAGGTTTGAGTTTGTCAACCATAAAGCAAGACAATGTAGTATTTGTAAACAATCAGATTATAATGCTCGTACTTGTCCAAATTGAAATACAGAATAATACATTTAGTTATAATTCATTTTATGTACCCAATTTTGTAAAAAAGTAATAATACTTAGCTTTAAAATAAAATTCATATTCCTGTTAGATAATAGTAGTAGCATGTAAAGTATTAGCTATTTAGCTATTTTGTATTTGAAGCGATTTGCTTAAATGGATGTTTCATTCAAAAATAAAACTCATCTAAAATTTACTAATGATTTCACAATTTCAATAGTATTTTCTGATTTCAATGATAAGCGGCTTGTAATTTTATAGTAGGTGGATTTCTAGTTTCAACAATAGACGAAATTCACAAATTAGTATTAAATAGTAGTGATTTTAACTGTTGGTAGGTCATATATAAAATCGAATCTGATAGTTTTTTTTAATTGGTTTCTTGCTAGATCTTAAGTGAGGGGAGTAAAACACTAATGACACAATATAATACAAAAGGTTTAAAGTATTTACATTCCATTTATCATTGCCCTTTGATCTTGAGAATTTCGAAAATTTAAACTAAAATCTACTTTATTTTAATATATATGATTATTTAACACAATTATGTGATATGT